TTATAAGCTAATCCATGAAGTCACACAATTGTCATTTCCACTATGTTCTATTTGCCGGAAGTGACTCACTAAATCCATCCTGCATGCAGAAGGATACTTAGTGCTTTCAAAGAGGGAAGTGTCAAATTGTGAACATGTTTTAAAACCACAGTAGGTACAACCTATATTGTTTCTGTAACTCCTGTTGTTATGCTTCCTTGGCTGACGACAACCCTGCTGATCCATGTGTGCCATTAGTATATTTATATTATACTATACCATTATATATATAACTGTAGTATACTTACACCATTTTATATAATACATATATAATTATGTAACATAAATGTTAATATATTTGGCTTATGGCCAAGCCATTCTAGCAAAGTAGCCATTATCTGTCTTTAAACTAATTTGTCTACTTCAGTTCAGTCACCTCATTCATGAGAGGACCTGGGGCAAGTTCCTTACCCAATCTGTGCCTCTGTGTCCTCATCCGTAAAATAAGACTAGTAATAGGCCCTATCTTATAAGCTTCTTGAGAGATTAAATGAGTAATTAAATGCACAGGCCTTAGAAGAGTGCTTGGCACACAGACAACATTCAATACTGTTAGCTGTCAGCAGTGGCAGCTGTAACTGTAACAGAAATAGTTGGATCCAATAGGTATAGTTAGCCCTCAAAAAGCAAGCGCATTTCCATGTTTCCAGTGGTAGTAAACAAAAGCCATAGTTGTCTTTCCGGCTCTGCCACAGCCGCACACTATCCAAGCTGTGTCCTCGGGACAGAGAAAGAACCATTAGAACCCTGCAAGGGACCAGGGCCAGTGGGCTCTCGTTTTCCTTCCTCTTTGCTGTGCTTGTTCCTCCTCTGAATCCCAGGTTAATCCCTGGCAGAGAGTGGTTACATGGAGATAGCATGTTCAGTTTGCACTCCGAGTCCTATTTACGTTTTGTTTTGGTTCCTCATTTTTTTTTTAGACTGACCTTTTACGGGAGGGTAGACTATCTAAACAGGGAAATGACCTAGCAGAAACCAGGGAATTCCTGCGTCTCATAAATGTTTATTAAAAGTTGTTGTCAAATTTTACTTTTTAAATGTCCGTTTTCACGGGTGTACCCTAGCGCCTCTGATCCCTGTTTGCTTATGACATAGGTTTGGCTTCCGTGGGCTCTTTTTGCTTCTTTCTGGTGAATACATTTTATCTTGAGCCTAAGCATATGTATCATTTAAAACATGCCCGGTGTTTGCCAAAAATCTATTAATGAGAAAGATTTTTTTTTTTTTTTTTTTCTCTTTCTCTATCTCCCAGAGCTACTTTAAAAATGAGGCTATACCTAGTGGAATGTACAAGGGTTGTTTTGTGTCAGGTGACAATTAGCTAAATATAGAGTCAGGAAGCTGGGAGGGACCTGCTGAGGTCATCGTTGCCCTCCTGCCCGCCTTCCACATCTGAATGTCTCCAGTCCTGTGCTAGCCAACTTGGTAGCCACCAGCCATACATGGCTTCAGAGCATTTAGACGGTGGCTATTGCAACTATGACTAGTCCGCATTGATATGTGCTGTCAGTGATAAAACACACCCTGAATTTCAAAGACATTATTTTTAAAAAAGAAGGTGAAATGTTTTGTTAATATTTTTATAATGATTACATGGCGCAAGATAATATTTTTATATGTTGAATTAAATAAAATGTCATTAAAAATTAGCTGTATTTCTTTTTTACCCTTCTTTAATGTGGCTACTAAAAAGTCTAGAATTCCGTGTGTGGCTCGCATTATATTATTATTGGATCGCGCTGCTCTAAACCATCTAGCTCTGTGATTCAAAGCTCCAGAGATTCTACAACCTGTTTTGGTGATTCTGAGACCTTCATTATTCTAGCAGCTTGGTGTTTCTCCACATTCCATCTTGACTTCAGTCTGGAGACTTCTACTTCAAATGGTTGACTCTTCAACATCTCGCGAAATCCCCACTCGAAGAGGGGTGTTTGCCAAAAATTTTTTATGGTGAAGTTTTTTTTTTTTTTTTTTTTTCTCTTTCTCTATCTCCCAGAGCTACTTTAAAAATGAGGCTATACCTAGTGGAATGTACAAGGGTTGTTTTGTGTCAGGTGACAATTAGCTAAATATAGAGTCAGGAAGCTGGGAGGGACCTGCTGAGGTCATCGTTGCCCTCCTGCCCGCCTTCCACATCTGAATGTCTCCAGTCCTGTGCTAGCCAACTTGGTAGCCACCAGCCATACATGGCTTCAGAGCATTTAGACGGTGGCTATTGCAACTATGACTAGTCCGCATTGATATGTGCTGTCAGTGATAAAACACACCCTGAATTTCAAAGACATTATTTTTAAAAAAGAAGGTGAAATGTTTTGTTAATATTTTTATAATGATTACATGGCGCAAGATAATATTTTTATATGTTGAATTAAATAAAATGTCATTAAAAATTAGCTGTATTTCTTTTTTACCCTTCTTTAATGTGGCTACTAAAAAGTCTAGAATTCCGTGTGTGGCTCGCATTATATTATTATTGGATCGCGCTGCTCTAAACCATCTAGCTCTGTGATTCAAAGCTCCAGAGATTCTACAACCTGTTTTGGTGATTCTGAGACCTTCATTATTCTAGCAGCTTGGTGTTTCTCCACATTCCATCTTGACTTCAGTCTGGAGACTTCTACTTCAAATGGTTGACTCTTCAACATCTCGCGAAATCCCCACTCGAAGAGGGTCAAGCATCTCTTATATTATTAAAAGCTCAATAATGCCATGTTTTCCTACCTTTTGACTTTCTGCCTCTCTTTTTAACTCTTTGGTAATTTTTAATGACGTCCCCTGGGTCGTTTCTGGTTTCTCTATATTATTTTTAAAACTTGGTATCAAAACACACCCACGTTGCTCTAATGGGGTTCTGACTAATGCAGACACAAGTAGAAGGAATTACTTCTACCATCAAGCTCTTGATCGGTCCTTTTGACACGTTACCTAATTTAATCCAACAGCACAAGGAGGGGCAGATGCTGTTCGGACCACTTGTGACTGACGTGGCAATCGAGGCTCAGAGAGGTTAAGTAACTTACTGAGATGCCACTACAAATTAAGTGGCGGATCTGGGATTCGGGCCCGGGTTTGCCTGACTCTAGAGCCTACACTCTTT